AGAAAGAAAGAAAGAAAGAAAGAAAGAAAGAAAGAAAGAAAGAAAGAGAGAAAACACATTTATAGATAGTCATGAAAAAATATGCTTACATACCCACTGGCTTAGTTACAGGTAGCATGCCCAGGTACTGTACTTGAAATTTCTGGACCAATTCAGTCTTTGGTGTTGGAAAATCTACTGCAGGGAAACAAAACATCAATTTCACCGTATCCAATTCTCATCAGGCCGCCTCTCTTTATTTTAATGCCAGGAGCCCGAGTGATATATCAGATGAACCGATAACATTATCGATTCCAAAAAAACCTTCTGTTCTAAGTCCTGTGAAAAAAAGGATCCTTATCTGGGGAATTAAGGAACTGAGGGCTATAAATCTTCATTTCGTAAAATAAATCCTCGTGACGGTTCGGAGGCAGAGTCAAAGAAGAAGCTTACCTAAGCATAACACAACAGCGACAAATTTCTGACTAGCACAAGGGTTGCAAAGGGTGAATGGTTTAGTCAGAATACAGCTGTGACTACCAGGTGCAAAAAAACCAGGTTCACAAGTCAAGGTCCAGTTAAACTGATTTATTGCTAAAAGCCTACGCACAGGAATCTTCTAAACTAATGATCAGCACCTGGTTAGAGTTAGATAAGGGCCAACTGAATTTAAGGGAGGCTGCAGTTAGTTTGCTTGTGACTATGTAGGGATTCTAGGCTGATTCCTCTTTTCACTCCTCCCCCCGGGTTCTGCCAATCCTTCTCCTACAGTAAAAAATCATTTTTATGATGCTGTAATCCCTCAATTTGGGGCGAACTGGTAGAGCTGAGAATTTACTGGCCGGATACCCTTCCTGACGCCTACGTGGAGTTCACAGCAGATTTTTTTTTTCTTTGAACCCTAGGAGAGAAACAGCAGTCGCTACCTAGGATTGAACTCTCGACCTTCTAAGTGGGAGGCAAGTGCTTTGACCACTAGGCCACCCCACCATTACATTCCTTCTCCTACGGCTGTCTTTGAAAAAGCTAAATATCCGAAAGCCATGACTGTTGTAACACCAGGCATATGCTTGGGATGGAAAGTGCTCCTCCATTGCCAATATCTAACTTTACTTTCCAGACAATGGTCCAGTCTTTGACTCAATTAAAGACCGATACAGGGAGACCTCGATTTACAACAGTCCATTTAGTGACCATTCAAAGTTACAACGGCACCAAAAATGTGACTCGTGACCATTTTTCATAGTTACAACCTTGGCAGCATCCTCGTGATCAGGTGATCAAAATTCAGACGCTTGGCAACGGGTTCAGATATATGACCTCTGCTGTGTCCCGGGGTCACATGATCCACTTTTGTGACCTCCCGACAAGCCACATCAACGGGGCAGCCAGATTCACTTAACAGCCGTATTCCTAACTTATCAACTGGGGTGACTCGCTTAACCACTGCGCCAAGGAAAGCGGTACAATGGGGCAAAGCTCAACAAGTGTCTCACTTAACGACGGGAATTCGGGGCTCAATTTTGGTCATAAATCGAGGACTACCCTGTTTCCCCCAAAATAAGATAATAAGCTCAATCGGGCTTTTGAGCGCATGGCAATAAGGCCAAGCGCTTATTTCAGGGTTCAAAAAAATATAAGACAGGGTCTTATTTTCGGGGAAACATGGTAGCTGTCTGCCTATTTGGTGCGACTGCTCTATCGTGGCTCTAAAAAGGCCGAGATCCTCCCTCACGACAATAAACCTAGGCGTCGTCACAGGTTTTACCTTGCAAAGGAACCTCAAGAGCGACGTTTGACCGTTCCTGCAATGGGTTGCAAGCAACAGCTTTAGCATTCTTCCGTTCAGCCATAATCTGCAGAAAATGAGGAGAATGCCATTTATTTTCCTCTTCGGGCGAGAATTTTATTCGTTAACACCACCCTTGTTTTGGAGGATCAGCATTTAGACCCCGGAGAACGGAATTTAGTTGAGGCATTCTTCTCGTACGAAAAATCCAGTTGAGGTAGGAACACGTGTACCGCTGCTGAGGAGAAAATCTCACTTGTGTTTCATGCAGGTTGAGTAATTAATGGCTCAGGATATTAATCTGTTTGTAGGAAGGGGATTCATTAAGCTAAAGCCAGGCGTGGGTTTTATGAAGCTTATCTCAGTGGGATACATACGTGAGCAAAAGCTTCAGGGCGTTGGGGGAAACATCAGGACCCAACTGATTGGAAAATGTTATATTTTTCTTTGATCCAAGGAGATCTTTTTCAGCCTCTGAGGCCGTGATAGCGAACCACTGCGAGGTGGCACGCACAGCCCTCTCTGTGGGCACACACGCCGTTGCCAGCTGCTCTTTTGGTTTCCAGCTGGTCTTCGTGGGTGCCGGAGCGCTGGAAAACGGCCCGGAAAACGGCCTGAAAACAGCCCAAAAAATGGCCTGAAAACGGCCAAAAAACAGGCATGCATGCGCCAGCCAGCTGGTCTTCACAGGCGTCAGAGCTCCGGAAAACAGCCCAGAAAACAGCCCAAAAAACAGTCTGAAAACGCCCAAAAAATAGGCATGCATGCACCAGCCAGCTGGTCTTCACAGGGACCAGAAAAACAGCCCGAAAAACGGTCTGAAAACGCCCAAAAAACAGGCATGCATGCGCCAGCCACCTGGTCTTCATAGGCGTCAGAGCGCCAGAAAACAGCCCAGAAAACAGCCTGAAAACAGCCCAAAAAACGGTCTGAAAACGGCCAAAAAACAGGCATGTGTGCGCCAGCCAGCTGGTCTTCGCAGGGACCAGAAAACAGCCCAAAAATGGCCTGAAAAACATTCTGAAAATGGCAGGCATGCGCACGCCAGCCAGCTGGTCTTCACAGGCACCAGAAAACAGCTCGAAAAACGCCCAGAAAAACGGTCTGAAAACGGCCAAAAAACAGGCATGTGCGCACCAGCCAGCTCGTCTTCGCAGGCACTAGAAAATAGCCCAAAAAATGGCCCCCAAAAAACGGTCTGAAAACAGCCAAAAAACAGGCATGTGTGCGCCGGCCAGCTGGTTTTGGGTTTCCGGTGCTCCAGCGCATGTGCATGCACGCACATTTTGGTTTGGGCACTTGTTGCTGAAAAGGTTTGCCATCACTGCTCTAAGGCATGCATTTAGCCAATGTGGGAGGGGCCATTCACCGTCCACCTGTGGCTTTACTCCTGAGTCGGCCCTTGTTCCTTAGCTGTTCCCTTCTCCTGGCAGCTCTGCGCATGCGCACAACGGGAACAGGCTCCAGCTGTTTCTGCCCCACTTATCTCCAACTCCGAAGGTAGCTGATAACTGTCGGACGACCCTGGCCCTCTCTCTGCTCCGACGCAGAGTCCTCATCAGAGCCTTCCTCAGACTCCAGGACTGGCCCATGTTTCACCCCAACCTCCTCACTGTCCGAGTCTGCCGCCAGCTCCGCTGGTCGCTGGTGGGCCACAACAGCTGGGAAAAATGGTAGACTTCAAAGCCCACCGATTAAAGCAAAAGGAGACTTGCCTTCGAACAGATTTCGTGGAGGCTCGTGGCGATGGCTTTCGCTGGGGTGTCACATCGGAACACGTGGCATTTCAAAATCCGGGTCTCTCTGTCTCTGGCGACATAGGCGAAATCCCTGGACAAGAAAGAAAAAAAAAGAAAGAAAACACCGATTAAAACATACGGCACTCGTAGAGAGTGAGACAAACGCCAACTGAAGAAAAGGACAGAGGATGGAAGAGAAGAATGTCAGGGTTCCAAGTAATTCCACCAATGAAAGAAAACTCTGAGGCTTTGATTTCCTCAAAGTTCCATTTTATTAGAGATGTCATATTGGCACATCTGGGAAAACCCGAAATCTGAAAGTTTCCAGGTTTTCCCCACCCAAGTGAAAGTTCAAGTCCCTGCCCATCACCCACATATCCATCACATGGTCCAATCATCCACCGTCTAAATTGGAAATACCTCCCAGTCATCCAAGTACCAGGGCAAGGTGTCCTTGACTCTCTGAGAAAGGAATGTTGTTTTGACTACATGTCACCCATACTCTATGCAATCACCCCTCCCATTTTCCCACAGAAGAAAATGTGGCAGACCTGAAGGCCCAAATGTAAAAGATGGCTATCAGGTCTGACAAAGAATTCCGTTCCACGGCTGAAGGCGAAGATCTGAAGAATGTCTTCCAACCTTTTTTTTCTTGATTAGGGAATTTTTATTTGGCCCTTTGCAGACGAGGGTTGCTAACCCAGATTCATTTATTTAGCGTACGGCATGAAATCTATGGATAGTAGCAGCAAAGATGTATGAAATTAATTCCCCTAAGGGGGGAATGTATGGTTCATTTGATAAGATGTAAAAAATTCAAGGAGTTATTATATCAACTCAACTTATGACCACAATTGAGCCCAAAATCTTGCCTGCTAAGTAAGACATTTGTTAAGTGAGTCTTAGCCACACGGTACGACCTTCCTTGCCACAGTTGTTATCGCTGCGGCTGTTAAGTTAGTAGCACCATTGTGATCGTTGTTGAATCTGGCTTTCCCCATTTGACTTTGCTTGTAGAGAAGGTCACAAAAGAGGACCACATGACCCCGGGACACTGCAACTGTCGTAATTATGAGTCAGTTGCCAAGGGTCTGATTTTGATCATGGGGATGCTGCAACGGTCATGTGAAAAATGATCATAAGTCACTTTTTTCATTGCTGTTGTAGCTTTGAAGGGGCACTAAATGAACAGTTGTAAATCAAGGACTATATATATGTGTGTGTGGATGGATAGATAGATAGATAGATAGATAGATAGATAGATAGATAGATAGATGATAAATAGTAAGATAGAGATGGATGGATGATAGGCAGGTAGGTAGGTAGACAGATTAGATAGATAGATGATAGATAGATGATAGAGATGATAAATAGTAAGATAGATAGAGATGGATGGATGATAGGGAGGTAGACAGACAGACAGACAGATTAGATAGATAGATAGATAGATAGATATGATAAATAGTAAGATAGAGATAGATAGATATGATAGATAGATAGAGATAGATATGATAAATAGTAAGATAGATAGATGGAGATAGATACTGTAGATAGATAGATAGATAGATAGATGATAGATATGATAAATAGATATGATAAATAGATAGATGATAGATAGAAATGATAAATAGTAAGATAGATAGAGATGGGTGGATGATAGGGAGGTAGGTAGACAGACAGATAGGCAGATTAGATAGATAGATAGATAGATAGATAGATAGATAGATAGATAGAGATGATAAATAGTAAGATAGATAGGTAGAGATAGATAGATAGATAGATACTGTAGATAGATAGATAGATAGATAGATAGATAGATAGATAGATAGATAGATAGATAGATAGATAGATAGATATGGATGGACAATAGGCAGATAGGTAGGTAGATAGATTATACATAGTAAGATAGGGAGAGGGAGGGATGGATGGATGGATAATTAGGTAGGGGGATAGATAGATAGATAGATAGATCGATATAGATATAGATATATGCATACACACATACTATATACATATACATGCATGTATATACATATACATACATACATATATAAAATACATTCGTCCACAAAATAAATGTTCAATATATTAATATCTAGGCTGCTTATCTAATTCATCCAGACTTCTGCAGCTTTCATGCCTTCCAGCTGATGGGAGGCTAACATTCCATTTTTTCCACCCAAGGGGTAAAATCCTATTGAAATATTTCCGGCGGTCCTAAGGACGGAGAACCGGCATCCTGGCTAGACATTTCTTTACACAACTGACCCACAAACAACTCTCCCAATATCACGGACGCCACTCGGGATAAAACGCTGCACAATTCCAACAAAATCCCTCCCGCATTAGCTTCCTTCCTTCAATTATCTGCCGGACTTGCCCACAGTTATCTTCAATCATCTTCTTGAGATGCTTCCTTCACAAAGTCTCAATTCATTCCCCACATTTGTCGCACTATCCTGATAAAGTTGCTTTTTGCAGGTCGGGAAAACTATCCTCCTCCTCCTCCTCCTCCTCTTCTTCTTTTAACGACCGCCATAATCCCTTGCAGGGTGGAGTCAGGGCAACTGAATGGAGCTAAGAGCCTTGGTAGCACAGTGGTCTAAGGCACCCTGTTATTAAGCTGGTTATTAAGACCAGCTGCCTGCAATTACTGCAGGTTCGAATCTCGCTAAGGCTCAAGGTTGACTCAGCCTTCCATCCTTTCTAAGGTAGGTAAATTGAGGACCCAGTTGTGGAGGCAATAAGCTGACTTTGTATAAATATACAAAAGGATGAAGGCTATTGCTGAGCACATTGTAAGCCGCCCTGAGTCTCCGGAGAAGGGCGGCATATAAATCAAATTAAAAAAAAAAAAAAAGTGTTTACTGGCCAGATGCCTTTCCTGTCGCCAATGCGGAGGTTTTTTTTTTTCAGCAGATATATTCTCAGTCGGGAAAACTATATTAGAAGATAACTGCCTTTGCTTTTTTTTTTTTAAGCCACATAAAGTGTAAATGTCTAGGGAGGATGTAGGAGAACCAGAAGCTGTCTACTACAAAGCGATCCATCAGCATTAGCCGTCAAACCTTTCCGGCGAGGTCGAGACATTAAAAGGACTTCAATTATTAATTAAATCAAAACATATAGTCAAAACTAGGTCGTCTGACTAAGACAAAGGGTTTTTTCCCCAGTGCTATCAAGTCCCGTTCAATCCCAAACAATTCTTCCCCACATGCCTCATTTATCGTGTTTCCCCGAAAATAAGACCAGGTCTTATATTAATTTTTGCTCCATAAAACACATTAGGGCTTATTTTCTGGTTAGGTCTTATTTGGGGGGAAATACAGTACTAAATGCATCTATCTGGCTGACAATCTTAACTGGGGTCTAACCTCCCAATTTTGCTGCAACATCTAATCAGAGTGGTATTCAGCCGGTTCGTCAGGCGAACCGGTAGCGGAAATTGTGGGTGGGCCTGCTGTCCTATTTAGGTACGTTTTTGAGTCCGAGCGCACGCGCGGAAGGCATACGAGCAAGTAAAGCATGTGCGAACCAGTGGTAAGAATATTGGAAACTCACTGCTGAATCAGATCTTCCGTTTGCAATTAACGATTAAAAACTACAACAGTGAACTATAGTTATTTATAATACTTGTGGCTCGGAATTTTCTACTTAAAAGCACAGTAATAACGCTTCTTCAATTTCTCCAGGAAGTTCATGAAATATGAACGGAGAGGAAAACCATTTCCTCATCCCTGAGAAAGGTTCTCGCCAAGAATTAGTAAGGAGGCCGCTTGGCCGATGTGGCTCTGAATTCCCTGGTGCTTTTGGAAGCCCTGAAGTCCATTAAGGATGCAGTCTTCTGACGGACAGCTAAATAATTCCTCTTGACGTCCTTCAGCAGCTTGCACATAGATACGACGGCTTCGGAAAGCAGACGTCGGACACTTCAGCTGACAGATGGACTGCTAAGAGGAAGGGATCCATAAAGGCCACCCTGGAGGACACAGAGTGGTGGGTTCTGCCAGTTGTAACTACCGGTTCGCCCAGCACCAAAAATGTGAGCACACGATATAGGACGGGATAGTGCTGGGGTAGGTTGGAACTACCGATTCGCCCGAACTGGCAGCAGCCCACCTCTGAGGACATATATAAGGTCTCCCAGTTGCTGTGACTCAACTTCCATATAATGTAAAGGGACACAATGAGAGAACTTGCCACAGCCAATTCGCCGCGGCCAACATACCACGGCCAACTTTGCCTCGGCCAACTCGCCACAACTAACTCATCACAGCCAACTCGCCACGGGACAACTCGCCGTGGGGACAATTGAACAATTCTATTTAAGGATTTAAAATAAATAACACATTATTTTAATTTTTGCCATTCATATTTCATTCTGTCCTTCCTCTTGCATCCTTTCTTTAATTATTCGATTCGATTAACTATTTGTCCCATAGCGAGTTGACTATGGTGAGTTGGTCATGGCGAATTGGCCATGTTGAGTTGGCCATAGCAAGTTGGCTGTGGTGAATTGTCCATGATGCAACTAGTTGGCCATGGCAAATTTGACATGGTGAGTTGGCTATGGCAAGCTGGCCATGATGAGTTGGCCATGGCGAGTTGGCTATGGCAATTTGGCCATGATGAGTTGGCCGTGGCAAGTTGACCATGGCAAGTTGACCATGGTGAGTTGGCCATGGCAAGTTGACCATGGCAAGTTGACCATGGTGAGTTGGCCATGGCAAATTGGCCATGGTGAGTTGACCATGGTAAATTGGCCATGGTGAGTTGGCTATGGCAAGTTGGCCATGATAAGTTGGCCATGGTGAGTTGGCCATGGCGAATTGGCCATGGTGAGTTGGCCGTGACAAATTGTCATGGAACCTGTAAAGGATGTGAGAAGTTGTACCTCAACAGCAGTTAGAAGATCAAAACTCCAACCCCCACTCCCACCCACTCAACCTTACCAAAATATCCAAAACAGATTTTAATTTGTTAAAATAGTTTCAATTGAAAGGGACAATGTGACATTCAAGAAGGGTCTGCAGAGTCTACACAATTCTATTTCCTACTTCCAGACAGCATTGTTACGTCTTTCGTAAAGGG